AAACTCACGAAGAGAAGTCCATGAGTCTTCTCACGACTATTGTATTGCAAAATCAAATAAAAACATTTTAACTTGCTATTTACGTACGTTCTCCTTACCGATTTTCCGTCGACTCAGGTGGTAAATCGAAACTACATTTGTATTTGGAAATCCATAGCTCGCGCAACCACTTATTCCTCTCGAATTTCTCCGATCCAGGATGTAACGACAACAAGTACTAAATTTTCGATCGTAAGAGGATAATAATGGGTTTTTGAATTAAAAATGTTTTTTGTGGCAAAACAGAGCAACTAAATGATGTTTACTTTGCGGCACCGGGATATATACAGCTGGCCTGAACATCTTTGTTCATGAGACACGGTAGATTATGGATGATATAATAATAAAAATTAATATTTAAAACCAAAAAAATTTCCATATGAAACCAGACAAATTTTGTAGTGAGGCAGCATAGCCGTATAAGAGATATCTTCTACAATTATGGCAATTAAACCCAATATGCTATTTGTCTATTTATAACATCTATGGCTAATGCGTACGCGAGTCCCGACTAGATTTTCTAAATAGTGAAAATGGAGGCGGAAAAAAAACTTTGAAAAGGTCAAGCTCTAGTTCATTATGTCGAGATGAACCTTTTTCCTCTTTGTCTAGTTAATAATTTCAATTTCCAAATAACCACTTCTAATCAGATAGGGGAGAGAGAGAAAATCAGAAATTCGCCCTAGGTGGTTATATTAACCGATCAAAGTAGGAATTCACAGAAAATAGGGTGAACAAATTTACCTATTTTCTTGTGACTGCTTAGCAAAGCTGGTCGAAAACCCATGGGGCAAGAAATTTGGTTATCGAGATAGCGGTCAACCACGGAAAAAATCTCTCCTTTTCCTTTCTACTCTTTTTTTATGCCTTATCAGATCAAATTGCTCTCGAGATTATTGCGGCTGTAATTGTGATATTTCTATAGGTTTCAAATAATTCCTAATGAAGATCGCGAGCTACATTCAATGAATCCATCCGTAAATCTGAGCCTAATTATCGCTTACAGAAACCAAATAGATCACATGTGTCTTGCCTCGTCAAATGAAGGCACTTTCTGCGAAGCTAACATCAAAACAAGGGCACCCTGAGCGGCTAGTCGATTATGTCCGATCATGTATTTATCGTTGTTGCGATCCCAACTCTCCGATGCTAGCCTTAAGCACAAGGTTATAAAAAAATTTAAAATCTTATAAAATACAAAAAATTAATTAAATTGTACCAAATAATCTTTTTCTTATTGTATCCAGCCGAAAGTTTCATCCTTTCCGCTGTGTGTTTCAACAATTCCGGAACGTACTCGGTCCCAACAAATAACACAACAACTCTGGCCCCAACCTTCTTGTCAGGCTGCAACCTTTAAACAAAATATTAATGTCAAAAAATCCAATCATATTAATGAAATGGTGGTAATAGCACCACAAAAACTTACTTTTTTACAAGGTTATCAATTGATTCCGCAAAGCTTTCTTTCTTATTCTGTATCCGCTCCTCAATAGCAATACAAATCCCCTTTTTCCGAGCCTCTTTTTTGAAAGCATCGGCACCTATAGGTTCATCAAACAATAGATTGAACAATAGTCAGATTTGAGGATAATTTAAGTGATAAGGGCACATATAAGTTCAAACCATTAAACAATATTATGCCCTTTGCTTCCTCTGAGGAAAAAAGTAGGCAAGCAATGTGTCAGCGTGAACGTCATAGAAATTACCGAACCAAAAA